GTTGACCAAGTTCCCTTCCATTCTGTTTATAATGGTGTTGAAGGCACGTTCATGTTTCTTTAAAGTATAAAATACAAAGTAGTCTAAGACCACATGATGTGCAATTGAAATGCATCACAAAGTTCTAGCACCTCTCTCTGTTGCCTGAGTCTGAGGCAGGCTGTAACAGTAGATGACACACTAACAAGCTTTCACTTCCTCCTGCTTTGCCCTTGTCATCATAAATGCTTATAACCTGACCCGTGTACTAAAAGAAATAGGTGAAACAAACTTTGAAATCCTCACTCATTTTGACTCATGTCGTACATTGTTGGATGTTAAGCAGGTATCCATTGCGTCTTGCTTCATCAGCTACACTGTAGTGAAACTCAGCCAAAGGCAGCAGGCCCACTGTAGAGGAGTAGGAACCACTCACATCCGAGTTAAGCTCTCAAAACTGGGTGCAAGTGATGTGGAAGCGCTGTCTTGGTCTTGAATGGGCTTCTCTGCACAAGGCTAAATGACATCTGCAATGTGAACATGCCACCGTTGTTTTCGGACAGTTATTTAACATTGCTTGGATACCAGCATGGAAAACCAGTGTAATTATAGAACACTAGGACTGGAAGGGACCTCGAGAAGTCATCGAGTCCAGTCCCCTGCCCTCATGGCAGGGCCAAATACTGTCTAGACCATCCCTGATAGACATTTCTCTAACCTGCTCTTAAATATCTCCACAGATGGGGATTCCACAACCTCCTTGGGCAATTTATTCCAGTGTTCGACTACCCTGACAGTTAGGAACTTTTTCCTAATGTCCAACCTAAACCTCCCTTGCTGTAGTTTAAGCCCATTGCTGCTTGTTCTGTCCTCAGAGGCCAAGATGAACAAGTTTTCTCCCTCCTTGTGACACCCTTTTAGATACCTGAAAACTGCTATTATGTCCCCCCTCAATCTTTTCTTTTCTAAACTAAACAAACCCAGTTCTTTCACCCTTCACTCATAGGTCATGTTCTCTAGATCTTTAATCATTCTTGTTGCTCTTCTCTAGATCCTCTCCAGTTTCTTCACATCTTTCTTGAAATGCAGTGCCCGGAACTGGACACAATCCTCCAGCTGAGGCCTAACCAGCGCAGAGTAGAGCGGAAGAATGACTTCTTGTGTCTTGCTCACAACACACCTGTTAATGCATCCCAGAATCATGTTTGCTTTTTTTGCAACAGCATCACACTGCTGACTTGTATTCAGCTTGTGGTCCACTATAACCCCTAGATCCCTTTCTGCCATACTCCTTCCTAGACAGTCGCTTCCCATTCTGTATGTGTGAAACTGATTGTTCCTTCCTAAGTGGAGCACTTTGCATTTGCCTTTATTAAACTTCATCCTGTTTACCTCAGACCATTTCTCCAATTTGTCCAGATCATTTTGAATTATGACCCTATCCTCCAGAGCAGTTGCAACCCCTCCCAGCTTGGTATCATCTGCAAACTTAAGTGTACTTTCTATGCCAATATCTAAATCGTTGATGAAGATATTGAACAGAGCAGGTCCCAAAACAGACCCCTGCAGAACCCCACTAGTTATACCTTTCTAGCAGGATTGTGAACCATTAATAACTACTCTCTGAGTACGGTTATCCAGCCAGTTATGCACCCACCTTATAGTAGCCCCATCTAAGTTGTATTTGTCTAGTTTATTGATAAGAATATCATGTGAGACCCTATCAAACGCCTTACTAAAGTCTAGGTATACCACATCCACCGCTTCTCCCTTATCCACAAGACTCGTTATCCTATCAAAGAAAGCTATCAGGTTGATCTGACATGATGGCTGTGTCTACATTGGCCAGATTTCTTACCAGCTGTCTAAACTGGCCGCGAGTTCTTGTGCAAGAACACTGACGATCTAATGTAAGATCGTCGGTGTTCTTGCGCAAGAACTCTGACGCTCCCGCTCAGGGAAAAAGCCCTCTTGCGCAAGTGTTCTTGCCGCAAGAGGGCAGTGTAGACAGGGACAGGAATTTCTTGCGCAAGAAAGTCCCGATGGGGAAAACGGCCGCCAGAGCTTTCTTGTGCAAGAGAGCATCTACACTGACACTGGATGCTCTTGCGCAAAAGCACGGCTTTTGCGCAAAGGCACATGCCAGTGTAGAAGATCTCTTGCGCAAATACTTTAACGCAAGAACTCTTGCGTTAAAAGTATTTGCACAAGAGAGCGCAAGTCTAGACGCAGCCGATTTGTTCTTTACAAATCCATGCTGGCTGTTCCCTATCACCTTGCCACCTTCAAAGTCTTTACAGATGATTTCCTTAATTACTTGCTCCATTATCTTCCCTGGCGCAGAAGTTAAACTAACTGGTCTGTAGTTTCCTGGGTTGTTCTTCTTTCCCTTTTCCCTGTCTTTTGGAATCTCTCCTGTCTCCCCTTTGGAGGTACACAGAGTAACTGATCTAGAGCCTTCTAATGACACTCACAAAATAACTATTTTTTATATTATTCTTGAAACACAATGTACTTAATCTCTAAATATATGGAAAACTGTCTGTATAGGACTAATAATATGCAAATTCTGGGCATCTTCAGCCGATTCACCAATGTTATTGAATATTAGCTCTGTCTGGAAGAGTTTGGAATTAGACACCAATAATTAAGACTCCTTGTCCTCAGATTTAACCACTAGATCCCACTCTAGCAACAAGATATAAATAATTTTAGTATACTTAAAAGCAACATCAAATTGAATTGAAATATGAAAGGAAAATGTAGCTGGGAGTTGAACTCCAGATCTGCTAGAAGAAATTTGGATTGGAACAATTTTTTGACATAAATATTTGACAGTGTTTTTGGTGGTGTTGAAACATCAGTTGTTCAGTGCTTGTTCATAGGAGTTGACAACTGAATTCAGATGACAAAATATTCCAATCAATATTACCATTCCTTTTTTGTAGGAAAGTTCTCCCCCTTCTGCTCCCTCGCTCAAATGCTATTTCATACTGATGAGGAGGAAAACAGAATCTCTCCTTAAGCGTTGTAATCATGGAAATTAGGGGGTTTTTTTCTGAACAATTTGGTTTTTTTTTTTCCTATTAATGAAACTTTTTTATGGTGAAACTTGGAGTTTGTGAAGTCTAGAGCAGCTTCCCCCCGGTAGCTTTTTCAACCTTCTGAAATAAAAA